ACCACCACGACAAACCACTACACCACCACCGCCATCGCCACCACCATCTTAACCCACCACGGCCACAACTACCACCACCACCACAAGAAACCACCGCACCACCACCACCGCCACCATCACCACCACCAGCACAACCTGCCACCACAACCGTCACAACAACCACCACCACCACCACCAACCACAATCCAGTACCACCACCACCGCCACAACCACCACCACCACAGCCCACCACCACCACTACCACCACATCAGAGAGGCCCCGAAAGACGCCCAAGATGCGCCCAGGAGGCTGCACAAATGCCCCTCGGAGGCCTCCGAGAGCCCTCTGACGAGACCCCAAGAGGCATTCATCAGGACTTTGCCCCAATCTCAAGGAACGGTGGCGGAGCGTCGTCGTCGTCGTCGTCATTGTCGTCGCCGTCGTCCTCGTCGACGCTCCCCGCCGCCGCCTCCCGCTGCCGCAGGCGCCGGCGCTGGCCCAGAAAAAAAAATCGTCGTCCCCGCCGACGCCGCCAGCCGCCGCCGACGCAGGCGTTGGCCCGAGGAGAGGGAGAGAGGAATACTACAGGAGGGGGGAGGGGGGGGGTTCGACCCCCCCTTCTCCAATAAAGGGGGGGGGGTCGTGCAGCTGGGCTCCGTCGGCGCTGGCAAGAAAAAGCGAGGGGAGTACACCCGCGCGCGGACGCGCGCGCGCGCCGCGCTCCACCCCTCCCCTCGCCATCGTCGTCGTCGTCGTCGTCCTCCGCCTCCTCCTCCCTCCCTCCCCCATCCAAGGCATGAAGATCAGATCCGGCATTCGTTCTTCCGAGAAGGGATGGGATGGGAGAGGGGAGGGTCGGATGTCAGCTGTGGCGCGAGCGCGCCTAGTTTGCCCCGTCCCCTCAACCCCCTCCCCCTGTGCCTCTGGGAGAAAACCAACAGGTATTGATTGATTGACACCGCTCCCCCCCAGACCTCTCCCGGAATGCGATCTGACCAGCATCTCGAGGCGAATCCAGCGGCGGCGACGAAGGCCTCCCAGGAGGCCCAGAAAGGAAAAACGGGCGAGGAGTAGAGGTATGGGCACCTTTTCCTCGTATGACCTGTTTCATGTCGTCCTCGTCTATCGTCCGTCGTTGGTTTTGGTTCAAACCTTTTCACTTAATTAATTATATATATGTATATGTGTGTGCGTAAAAACAAGAAAAACAACACATTAAACAAACAAAAACAAAAAACAGCACAGCCCGCCCTTTTCCCGCGCGGGCGGGCACGGCGCACGCCGCGGCGGCGCAGGCGCCGACCCACCCCTGCGGGGGGGCGCTGGTCGGGAGCCGCGCCGCGTGCGCCGCGCCGCCAGGGGCGCCCCAGGGCGATGCGGGGGCGCCTGCCGGGCGGCGATAGGGGTTTCCTCCTCCCGTGGCGACGCGCGCAAGGGGGGAAAGGTGGAGGCCAGTCCACAGGAACCCTGCCACAACGAAACCAATCCTGAGGCTCCATGGCGTCCACTGATTGCTGGTGCGGGAACGTCACACCTGAACCATCGACACCCCAGGAACCGAGGGCACCCTGGAGGCAAGCAGGGAGTTTCTTGGCATGGGTGCTCACTGCAGGGGCAGGGGGGAAGGCTCCTCCGAAGGAGGCTGCTCCTCAGAGAGCGCTGGCCTTCCGTCTGCAGACAGGGCCTGCGCTTTCTCTCATACTAGGAATACCAAGGCATATATCGACCCCTATCCCAGACATCGTGGGGTTTTCGAATGAAGCAGAAATTTGAGCCCCACCCCTGGGATATACGATAGGGGGGGGGCCATCCTCGATAGGGGTGCGTCCGAATAGCCCCCTTGGGGTGTATCCCAGGGTTTCCCTCTTTTCGTGAGCGGCCAAACTTTTCCAGCGAGACTCGGGGATTGGGGGAGAAAAGGCACCTGCGAAGGAAGCCCCCCCCGTTCCCCCACCCCCCTCCGCGCGTGGCCGAGTGCTGCTGCCCGCTCTTGTCGGAACCCAATGTTACGACTGCTCGCGAGAACGCCCTTGGCCAGCCCCACCCCGCCGCCCTCCCCGCCTCCTGGTCACGTCGCGATTCGCGCAGGTGCCCTGTGGGAATTTGCCATTCCTTCCTATGCTTAGGTAGGGCATGTCCTCCAACAGGCGGATTTTTGGACGAACGTCAAAAATACCCCCCAACAAATTCAATGACAGGCAAACAAAAACTAATAATCGTCCCCATACTATGTTTGTGCTAGTTTTGAAGTTTTCCCCTATCGAGGGATATGCCCGACTTAATCCTATGCATTCCCAGACGGCGCCGGTGCAAATCGTAACGTGACCAACCTCCCCCCCACTCCCCCCTCCCCCGTGGGAGAAAGACCTGTCTTTTGTGGACAAGCGCGTTCCACCACTCGCAAAATAAGTGCTCGCAAATGGCCTGGATCAGCCGCGAGGGCTTTACAATACATCACGTAGAGGAAGCCATATCTTTCTAGCCCCTTTGAGGAGGAGGCAGAGGAGGACGAGGAGGAGGAGGCGGAGGAGGCGGAGGAGGCGGAGGAGGCGGAGGAGACGGAGGAGGCGGAGGAGGCGGAGGAGGAGGCGGAGGAGGCGGAGGAAGCGGAGGAGGCGGAAGAGGCGGAAGAGGCGGAGGAGGCGGAGGAAACACTCTGCAAGCAGTGAAACGTGCTGCTCGGTGGTCTTGGCGGCGTCCACAAGGTGGTCACGCAAGGGTAGCGGCCTGCTGCGCAGCTGGAGAGATGCTCCTTGCAAGAAGGTGCGGGCCTTCTCAAAAGGTCCCCGGCTGCCTGGAAGCCGGGCTTGCCTCTGAAAAGCCCCTCTGCCTTATTAAAAACCCCGCCGCCTCGTTGAAGCCCCGTCCTTCTGGGACGCCGGAGAGGCTCATTGGAAAGAACGGTCCTTCTCAGAGAGGCCCCGGCTCCAAGAACTGCATCTACGTACATTTGTTGAGGTCCGCGCAGATTTCTTGGATCGGCGTTGGAACCCCTCCCTGGCGCGCAGAACGCGCCAGGGGCGGCGCTGAAGGCGCCGCCGTTGGGCTCAAGCGCCGACCCAAGAAATCCGAGCGGACCTCCGACGAGTTGTCTTTATGCAGCGTGCTGTCCCTCGGCCACCGGGAAAGGTCCAGACTTCTGGGGGACACACAGGGGAGGCGGCAGGGGTCGTTGCACTCCCCCACTCGCTCCCAGACTGTGGGCATGCCTCAAGCGGGTTGCGTGTTTCGCCGAATTCTTCTCCTCTCTCTCTCTCTCTCTCTCTTTGTGGTCCACTGCTCACCCCATATGGCAGGCGTGGCACTCGGGCACCACAAGAGGGAGCCGCCATGGGGGTGCTGCCCTCCCCCGTTCGCGACAAGATTCTGGGGGATGTCTCGCGCGGTTTACTTGTTTCGGCGCCGCCGCCATCTCTCTTTTGGTGGTCCAATGGTCACCGCGATACGGCAGGCGTGGCTAGGGGAGCCGCCCCAGGGTGTTGCACTCCCCCGCAAGCGCCCAAATTGTGGGCGTGGCTGAAGCGGATTGCTTGTTTCGGCGCCGCCGGCATCTCTTTTGGTGGCCGAGTGCTCGCAAAGATCTAGCAGGCGTGGCATTTGGGCGCGCCAAGGAAAAGCCGCCACGGGGTGTTGCTCTCCCCCGTTCGCGTCAGGCTTGTGGGCATGTCTCAAGCGGGCTGGTTGCTTCGGCGTCGCCAACATCTCTCTCTCTCTCTCTCTTTCTCTCTCTCTTGGTGACCCCAATGGGGGAGCCGCCGGGGGATGCTGCACTCCTCCGTTCGCGCCCAGAGTGTGGGCATGTCTCAGCTGGCTTTCCTGTTTTGGCGCCGCCGACATCTGTCTGTCGATCGTGTGCGTGTCGCAAGCGTAGTGCTTGCTTCGGCGCCGCCGCCATCTGTCCTTTGGTGGTCCAGTGCTCACAGCTATATGGTAGGCGTGGCATTTGGGTACTCCGAGGGGGAGCCGCCAGGGGGTAGGACACTCCACTCTTCGCGCCCAGGTTTAGGGGATGTCGCAAGCGGGTTGAGATGTCTCAGGCGGCTTACCTGCTTCGGTGCTCCTAAACGGGGTAGGGAGAGAAGGAGGACGGGGAGGTGGAGTGGGGCGGAGAGGTAGGAAGAGGGACGCGCAGGTGGCCCTTACGCAGCGCCAGGCCCACAAATCGTCGTCGTCGTCGTTTGCTTCTGGAATACGCTTCCTGCAAGCGCTGCAGCTAGCGCTCGGGAGTCGCCCGACTCCTAGCTGCGCGTCCTTCAACATCCCGGAGAGGAGAGGAGGAGGAGGAGGAGGAGGAGGAGGAGGAGGAGGAGGAGGAGGAGGAAGAGGACAACAGAGGAAGGAGGACGAGGGAGGAAAGGATAAGGACTTGTCACCGCCTGTTCGCGTGCTGCTGACGTCGTCGTTACCGAACCCCTCATCGCAACCAGCGCCGTCGTCGTTGACGTCCTTTCGCCCGTCGTCCGCTCGGACTCGCTCTCGCACCGAGCCCCTCACAGCCAGACATGCAGGTACCATAAAGCAGGTTGCATATATGGGGATCTCCGCGTCGAGTAATTGCAATACACTGGAGGTCTGGGTGTACTGACCCCGCTCCTCCCTCTGCCAAGGGGGGGGGGCGGGCGGACCCCTTCCGTCCCCAGGACAGTCGTCGCCGCGCGCGGTCGTTGGGCGGCTGGAGTGGTACGTCTGGGGAGAGGTCCTGGGACGGATCCTAAGCTTTCGCGAAGCAGGACCAGGAAGAGGACGCACTGCTCCAACGCGATCCTCAGGAGCACCGGAATTGGTACGAGCAGGCATCGCGCATGAGACCGTCCGCCGGCCAAACGAAGCAGCACATCCGAGGGTGCCCCCCCCAGGGCGCACCGAGAACATCCGGCGACACGCGGAGAGCAGCAGGGCACCCTCCCCGAACGGGCCCCCGAGCTAGTGCCTCCACCTGCCTGTCATGACCCCCCCCCGGTGCGAGGCCGAGCCTGCGGGCTCCGGGCAGGCGCGGGCCGCGTCCGCGCGCGGAGGCCCGGGCGGGCGCGGGGGCTGCGCGGGCGGCGGCGCGGCGTCGGGCGTGGGCGCGGGGAGCTGCTCGATGGCGTTTTCCAGGACCTGCTGGGCCTGCCAGGGGGAGGAGGAGGAGGAGGAGGAGGAGGAGGAGGAGGAGGAGGAGGAGGAGGAGGAGGAGGAGGAGGAGGAGGAGGAGGAGGAGGAGGAGGAGGGGGAGGAGGAGGGGGAGGAGGAGGAGGGGGAGGAGGAGGAGGGGGAGGAGGAGGCGGCGGAGGAGGACGGCGACGGCGACGACAGTCCAGACCCCCCCGACTGCGCACGACGGAGAAAACATGGCGGACGGTACTTCGCCATGTTCTCCCGCTGGCGGCCTTTGCCAGGCCTTGGGGCCGCGCAGCAAAAACGTCGCGGGGGGAAAACGCAGAACCTCCAGGGGCCCATGCCATGCAACAAACCATGGCGTCCGGGGTCCAGGAGGACAGTAGCCTTGCATATGGAAGCAAAACGCGGCGTAGACATACTTTGTCGGCGGCCCGCGCAGAGCTCAGAGAACTCATGTTTACGCAGTTGCTCGTGACTCGACCATTGGGGAGGGGGCGCAGCTCCCAAGACAGAGGCCTTGCACGTGAGGTCCGAGCCGATGGGGTCGGAGGATCGCGCCGCATTGCCGAGGCACCGGCGATGCATGAGCGAAGCGGGGAACCCGTCCTCGCGCAGCAGTGGAAACATCCTCAGGCCGTCGGGCGCCAGTGACCGAGAGGCACGCCGACGGGCTGCCGACAGCAGCATGTCACTGACACATCTTCTGCCTCTCGAATTTTGGGGGCAGCTCCCGGGAGGAAGGGAGCGGGCCCCAGGAGGCAAGGGCTCCCGAGGCTCTGCGCCGTGGTCAGGCCCGTGTGGCCCTCCGCGGGCCCGGGATGCAGAGCGAGGTGGCAGGGAGAGCCCGAGCGAGGAGCACGTCGGGGGGCAGGGCCAGGGGGGGCTCCCGCAGGAACGATCGGGGACCACTGGGCCCGTCCGAGGGGTTACTGAGCAGATTCGGGTCGGGCGGAAAGGGGGGGATAGCAAAGGGGGGGGGGGGGAATCAGCTCACGTAGCTGATTTTCCCAGCGCCTCCCGGCGCCGGAGGCGCCCATGTATCGAGGAATGGGCCCGGCGGCGGGGCCTAAACCAGCTGTATGCAGCAGATTTCGTACCCCCCCTTTCCCAATCCCCCCCTTTCGTCCGGCCCGACAGATGCAATGCGCAAGGCGGACTAAGCCCAGGACTGAGCCTGATAGAGCGGCATGCGGCCAGACAGGCTGGGCTTCGACCGAGGATCTGCCCTCGCCGATGTTGAGAGTCCAATCTCCCAGGATCGCGAGCAGAATCTCGGCATGAATGAAACAGGTCATCGAAAGAAGCATATGCCTGAGACTTTTTCGCCGTGTTCTGGCCACTGGAGCCCATCCAGGGCCCCCAACCGACAAATATCGATTCGGGGTGGAGGGCTGGCTCTGTGGGGATGCCATGGTGTCTATTTGTGTAGACCGCGTTTCCGCCTAGACCCCTCTACTTCATCGCGATCGACGGCGTGGGGGTGGAGGAACGGGGAGCTTCTGGGATGCTTGTCGCTTGTTGTCGCCAGCGTTGTCAGGGTCCCGGCGGGTGGGTCGCGGGTGGGTCATGGTGCGGGTGGGTCGCGGGGCCGGGGGGGTCGCGGTGCGGGTGGCTCGCGGCGCGTGTGGAACTCGGTGCGGGTGGGTCGCGGCGCGCGTGGGTCGCGGCTCGGGCGGGCCGCGGGTGGGTTGAGGCGCCGAAGGATCGCGACGCGGGCGGTCGCGGCGCAGGTTGGTCGCGGTGCCGATGGGTCGAAGGCGGATCGCGGGCGCCGCGCCGGCCCGCCCGCCGCTTTCACTCTTAGTCTTATCCGCGGAGGCGGAGCGCTACTTTGGTGTATATACATGCGACATGCATGTATTTCTCATTCCGCTGGGCCACCAACCACTGCCCCGACCAGCCGTGGCGCCCCCCAGCCTGCGATGCGAAAGGTATTCGCCGACCTCTTGAGGTTCATCGGCGTGTGAGATGCTTCCCCCTCCCCAAACCCATCCCCTGGGAGCGGGATTCGGTCGATTTGGAAGAGGGGGGGGTCTATCCGGCCGGCCTGGGGGGGTCCTTTGCTCTAGAAATTCTGCCGGGGGGGCATGCAGGGCTCGAACACCGGCTACGAGGGCCCCAAGAGACTTCCAAGACGGTCCAAAAAGGCCCCGAGTCGCCGAAACATCGCCCCAATACGCCCAAGATGGCCTCCAGACTGCCCAAGATGCCTCCAAGACGCCCCAAGAGGCGTCTAAGAGACCTCACACGAGGGCCCTAAGAGGCCCAAATCTGTGATGTGTTTGAGCGTCTTAGATGTGTGTATATATATATATATATGTATATATATATGTGTATATATATATGTGCAAACATACATACATGTGTAAAACAAATGTGTGGCTCGCTCGCCTTTCAAAGCTTCCAGTGCTACAAAACGGCGGCCCCAGAGGCCCCTAAGGCCGTCTCAAGCCCGAACACGAGTCAAGAGGGCCTCAAGATAGGCCAGAAGGCCTCCAAGAGGGCCCCAACATGGGACCAAGGAGGGGACCACGAACCGAAAATTCTAGCTTTCTGCCCAAGAGGCTCCCAGGATGCTCCAAGAGGCCCTCAAGGGCCTCCACGAGGCCGTCACGAGACCCCCAACAGCCCCAATCAAGGGCCCAAGAGGCGCCTCCAAGACGCTGCAAGAGGCTTCGACGAGACCTCCCCGTTTTGTTGTTGGCTGTCTCGCCTTTTCTAGCTCCCGACGCTCCACGACGGCCCCAAAGGCCCCCAAGACCGCCTCAAGACGGCCCGTCAGGCCCCCGAAGAAGTCCCACGACAGCCCACGAGGGCCCGAACACGGGTCAAGAGGGCCTCAAGACAGCCCAAGAGGCCCCCCAAAAGGCCCCAAGACGGGCCAAAGAAGGGGACCAAAAGACGAAAATCCAACCCCTCCGCCCCAAGAGGCTCCCGGGATGGCCCAAGAGGCCCTCAAGGAGCTCCACGAGGCCCCCACGAGACCCCCGAGAGCCTCAAAAGTGGCCCCAAGAGGCCCCCAAACAGTCCCCCAGAGGCTGCCAAACTGCCAGAGGCTGAGCTGGGATGGTATGACTTCAAAATAAAGATGGACGATGGGAGATCGGGTGCGAATGAGAGAGACCGACTGCGGCGGTGTCACTGGGACCTGTGTCAGTATTCCTTCTGGATATACACCCCCTGCTCTACCCGACCAACGACGAAGCCGGGGCTATGTGGGCAGTGTGCGCGGTTTGGGGGGAATCTCGCGCTTTGAACTTCCCGACGCTCGTAGAGGACCCGCAAGGCCCCCACGACAGCCCCACGACGGCAGCTGCGACCTCCACGACACCCACAGAGGCGCCCACGACCAACTCCAAAAGATAGCCAGCCAAAGGACCCGATCGGACACTCCGAACCCTCGGCTCCAAGAAGACCACAGGAGATCCCACAAGGCTGACACGAGGCCCCCACCGGACGGCATCTACTACACCCCCAAGGGGTCGGCGGTGCGGCGTAAGCCTGAGAATCTACATGCATAAGCAGATGCGTACACTCACTGGCCTCGCATCCACGCGTTCAAGTCATGATCTGCGACCACCCGGTACAAATCGTCCTCCTCAGGGTCGGAAGCTAGCTTCTGCGTGAAATCTGCCACGGCTACCCTGCAATGAGGGTACAATTTCATCTTGTCCGCTGAGCCGGACATGACGCGGATGTCCTGAACGCCGATGTTCAGACTGTCAGCAATGCTGTCCAAATTGAAAACCATTGGCATGTGCCTGCTGTTGGGGTACATCCTGCCGTTGGTGTCCACTTGGCAATTTCCCTCGTCGAATAATCGGAAAGACCTGGTGGCGAGAAACCAATTTGGCCACATCTTGATCCCCTTCCTCAGACAAAGATGCTGTATCGTCGCCACGCACGACACAAAATCGAATACCCAAGCGTTGTCCACCATGCGTGCTAACAACTTCTGGACTGCACTGTTTTGGCGATCTGTCTGCTCGATGATCGCCTTCTGCACAGCGTGCTCATGCTGCACTTCGTCGGCCTGTGCCTTGCGCAACTCTCGTAAGAACACAAACGGTGATGCGTGCAACAACCGCGCACTGTCCCAGACATGCCGTCTAGGCAAAGCTCTGACCTGAACTGACTGCAATAGCATCATCCGCGCCTGCCTCCACGGCGCCCCAAAAGAAGATGCCACCAATACTCCGCCAACTGCGAGAAATGCCTTCAGAGAGTGCCCACATATAACGAAGAGAGCGGCACCAATTACGCTCAGCACCTTCGCTGCCTCTCTGCGCAGTGCAATCCCCTGCAACAAAGACTTCTCACAACAAATTGGAAAACGGGATGACAAATGCACAACAAAATGGTAGAACGGGACACTTAACGGGACGAATTGGAACGTGGTCTCCACAACTGTCACAGGAGTCCCCAACGCATCGCCCAAGATTGCCTCCACAATTGGGAGCGCATTGCGGCGCGTCATATTTGAACAAAAACCCAAACAATGCAAGTTGGAGTGCGAGAGTTTCTGGATCAGCTCCGCGGAGCCCGCGCGGTGATAGAACCTCGACGGCATCAAATTCGTGCCCCAGGGCAAGCGCGTGCACTTGAGGCTGGGAGACACCGCCGTGGCGGCGTTATCCCTTGGGCGCCAGCCCAGCGTGCCGTTGAGGTCGCTCAAGAAGGCAAGCTTTTTGGGCGCCTCTGGCAGGGCTTGGGCGGCTGCCGGCGCCCCTCGAGTGGGAACAAAATGGTCGTCGCGAAGCCGGCGCTGGTGATTGCAGTGTGTACATGGGTATCGTACTGTGCGCTGCATCAGTCCTTCCTTGCAGATGTAGCACACGTTCCATTTTATGTCAGTCCTGTGGCCACGCACCTTCTTGCAAGTGGGGCAGGTAAACTCAAAGTCTCCTCCGAATTGCGCCTTGCAAATGTCGCAGCGGTCGGAACTCGCCGATGTCCTCGTGCTCGGAGAGGGGAGCCGCCGTCGTCCGCGACGCACCGCAGCTTCGCCG